GTGTCACCAGCAGAATGGAAATGCTCTTTGGGTTCATATTTAGAGTTCCTGGAAATAAATATTAATTATGGTATCAGCTGTTGTATACTCAGGAAACCTCTCAGAGATAATTCCAAAAATTAGAACTATGGGAAGAGATGGTGCATCAGAGCTAAGGGACACTTTCCCCAGTACAATCAAACCGATCCTAGATGGCTGACAAACTCATTCAGGTAGATGTGGATTTTGCAGAAACTTCACTTAGAAGGGATCCTGGTTTCTGTATAAAATAAGCTTGCAAATACCATGGGGGCTTTGCAACAACTGATGGAAGGCTGATGTTTTTCTCCACCGATGCTCTCAGTTCTCTGGGACAGGCTTCTCTGTGATGCCATTAATTGTTGGCTCTTCCCATTGTTCACCATTCTCTATCCAGATTACCTCTCTTCTCGCCATTTGGCAGATGGGACTCTGTTCTTACATTATTAACATCACTGTCTGCAAAAAGCAGTTACATATGGAAGGAAGAAAACAGAGCAATGAGATCATGGGCTTTGTCTCTAATTCTGCCACTGACTCCATCACCCATTCAACCAACAAAGGCTGAGCACCAGCTATGCACCACACACTGGGCTGGGCACTGAGAAGAGAAGCATGATATGGGACTCGATGTGAAGAGCCACAGAAACAGAGTGGCTAATACCATGACGGCAACCTGCACAAAACCTTCTCAGAGCACTGGGAAGCTGAAGGAGTACAGGAAGTCCTCCTGAAAGAGACGAGCGCTTTAGCCCAGAAGATCCTGGATGGATAAAAAAGCCACATTCATTTGGGATAACTACAGATATATGAATATAAAATATAAATCAAGTAAGATTACTGTATTGATATTAAATTCTTGGATGTAATAATGGCACTGTGGTTATGTAAGAGAGTGTTCCGTACTTAGGAGATACACACTGAACTACTCATAGGTGAGGAGTCATGATACCTAAAGTTACTTTCAAATGGTTCAGAAAAAGATGTGCCGATCTGGGGGTATGTGTGTGCACGTGAGAGCACATGTATATACATTTATATACATATACATAAATGTATACATATACATATATGAAGGGGGATAGGGGAAAGAGAATATGTAAAATGTTAGTCAATCTGGGTATATATGAACATTTCTTGTACAATCTTTTAGTTTACTGCATTTTTTCAAATTTTCAAAATAGAATACTGGATAGACAATTGTTAAAAATATATGCATACAGGGTTGCCTGGGTGGTTCAGTCGGTTGAGTGTCCAACTCTTGACTTTGGCTCAGGTCTTGATCTCAAATTTGTGAGATCAAGCTCCACTGAGGGTTCTGTGCTGGGTGTGGAGCCTGCTTAAGATTCTCTCTCTGCCCGGGCGCCTGGGTGGCTCAGTCATTAAGCGTCAGCCTTTGGCTCAAGTCATGATCCCAGCATCCTGGGATTGAGTCCCACATCGGGCTCCCTACTCAGCAGGAAGCCTGTTTCTCCCTCTCCCACTCCCCCTGCTTGTATTCCCTCTCTCGCTATCTCTCTCTCTGTTGAAAAATAAATAAAATCTTAAAAAAAAAATTCTCCCCCTGCCCTTACACACACACACACACACACACACACACACACACACACACACACAACTGATCCTTGAACAATGCAAGGGTCACAGACACGGACCCCCGTGCATTCGAAAATCCATGTATAAATTTTGACTCCCCAAACACTTAACTAATAGCCTATTGTTGATCAGAGTCTTACCAAAAACAAAGTCAATTAACACGTATTTTGCATATTAATATGTATCATAGACTGGATTGCGACAATAAAGTAAAGTGGAAATGTTATTAAGAAAAGAAAATGTGAGGCACCTGGGTGGCTCAGTTGGTTAAATGTCTGACTCTTGATCTCAGCTCAGGTCTTGAACTTACAGTCGTGAGTTTGAGCCCTGCAATGGGCTCCATGCTGGGCATGAAACCTACATAAAAATAAAAATAAAAATAAAATAAAGTAAAATAAAATAAAATAAAAATAGGGATGCCTGGGTGGCTTAGTTGGTTAGGTGTCCAACTCTTGGTTTCAGCTTGGGTCATGATTTCAGGGTCCTAGGATCGAGTCCTGTGTTGGGCTCCGTGCTCAGTGGGGAGTCTCCTTGAGGATTTCTCTCCCTCTCCTCCTCCCCCCACTCATTCACTCTCTCTCAAATAAATAAATAAATAAAATCCTTTAAAAAAGAAAAAGAAAAAAGAAAATGTTGCTACAAAAATCATAAGGAAGAGAAAATACATTTACAGTACTGTTCTGTGTCTATAGGAAAAAATCCACATTTGTAAGTGGACCTGCGAAGCTCAAACTTGTGTTGTTCAAGGGCCAACTACATTTATAAAGCTATTACAAGAGCTAAGACTGGACTTGAAAAAGAGAAGTGCGCATTAGATAATGACAGAAGGGAGGTACCCAAGGGAGAGCTGATGGCTGGAGCATGGGATTTGGGGGTGGTAGCTGGTATGCACAGAACCACTCCTGGCCCAAAGGTGACAATTGTATATATTTATCAAATGAATGAAAGAGTTAAACAGCATCATTTATGCAGAGAACGGCAAGCAGATCAGACCAAAGTGAGCATAAGGTTTATGTTAAGGAACAAGAGCCGATTTAGCTATACAGGCAGGGGGTCTGTCATGGAGGCCTTTGTATATTCTGCCAAGGTCCTGGGACTTTATCCTCTGGGCGACGGGAGCCATGAGCAGGAGGCAATGTGGTCAGATTAGCATCTAGAGGGACCACCCTGGCAGTCAGGTGTCATGTAGAGTGATGGAGCACAGACCTCAAGGCAGGAGACAAGGGTACCAGTCAGGATGCCTTTGGCTCCCTTAAACACAAAGCTCTGAGTCTAACTGGCTGAATTTATCAAGAGACTTTTTATCCAACATAGCTGCAAGCTCTGAAATGACAGGCAGCAGATGTGGTTGATTCAATGGCTCAAAAATGTAACCACGGACCCAGGTTCCACCCTCTCTGCACTCTACCATTCTCTGTGGGGCTCTGCCTGCAGACTGCCTTTCCTCATCTTTTTTTTTTTTTAATAATTTTTATTGTTATGTTAATCACCATACTGCCTTTCCTCATCTTTACAGGATGGCTGTAGCAGCTCCCAGAGTGATGTGTGGACACAGTGAAGACCACAGACAGAAGGGAGCCGTTCCTTCTTTGGTCTCTCTCAGCAAGGAAAACTTTTCCAGAAGCTTCCCAGCAAACACTGCCTCACATCCCACTAGCCCAGATTGAATCACAAGCCCATTTCAAAACCAATCACTGTCAAGGGAACAAGATTACATGTTTGGCTCGGAATAAGAATTTATACACAGAGGGAATGAACTACGATGAATCATCACTTAAAACACTTGGGAGCCTAGTGGTCCAGGCAAAAGATGCTGGAAGCCTAAACTAAGATAATGGTAGCAAAGAATGGAGAGATGAGAAGGGATTCATGATTTATTTAGGAAGTTATGTTGGTACAATCTGGTGGTGGACTGGAGGTGGAGGAGGAGGAAAGGGGGAAAATGACACCCTCTTCTATAATTCCAGCTTGGATGAATGGGGGGAAGGAAGTGCCATTAACTGAGGTAAGGTACCCACGAGGAGAGCAGAGGGTTTGGGGAAAAGGTGGTTTGGGACATATTCAACTGGAAGTGCCTGTGGGCTTCAGAATAAAGGTCCTGGGCAGTGAGCAGAATTTAGGACTCAAACCGTATCCCCCCCGCAAAAAAAACAAAAACAAAAACAAAAAAACATATCCCACACAGGTGGTCCATACTCAGCCATGGTTCTCAAACAGGCTTTGGTCTCTACAGACATTTTTGAACCAATATTTAATCACTGAGAGATTCCAAATAGGATTATATATTTCTGGTTTCTCTGGAAAATCTGGCAACACTGGTCCTAAATTGCTGCCTGTCAATAGTCGGTGGAGGCCAGTAGCAGCCATTCTCTTTAGCTAGAATAAGGGGTTCTCTGGCCTGCCACACTCACCCACTATCTCTCTGCCTTTACCTGCTTGGCCCTGAAGTTTCCAACCAATACCTGGGAAAGAGGCCTGAGCTGCAGAAACACATCTGGTAGTCACTGGTATTTAGATGGTGGTCAAAGACCTCACTGCGGATGCTGTCACCCAAAGAGAAAGTGGAATGAAGTAGGTCAAGGAGGTAATCCTGGAGCCATCAGTGTTTTAGAAATGGAGGAAGAGAAATTCACACTGGAGAGAAAAACAAAGAAACTGGAGCGGAGCAAGTGAGCATGAAGTCTCAAGAGCTAAGAGAGGAGAGCTGAAGTTGGAGGGAGGGCTCTCCTGTGCCACATGCAACAGGACGTCCAGGGCAGGATCATAAGGAGACACGACATTGGGGAAGTAAGTCGTGGGCGACCCAGGAGCCTAGCTGTGTGGCAGTGAGGGAAGAGGCAGACAGCATGATGTGCATGGGCTGCTCAGGTGAGAAAGGAGGAGTAAAGCCGGATTAAACTAGAGAGGCCATGGGGTCAAGGCACGGTCCCTTGGCAGGATCAGAGACACCTGGACATTGTAAAGTGAAAAAGAAGCCAGGAGTAAGATGAAGGCCGTAGAAATCTAACAGAGGGATGAACAACAGAACCAAGGAGGTAGTGGGGGCAGGGGAACAAAAGGGTGAGACAGGTGGCTGGATTCACTGCAAAAATGAGAGGACTCCAAGGCTAGTGGATTGGAGGTGATGATAAATCTGGAAGCAGATGGCTGTGTTCAAAAACTTGAGAACCTCGTGGCACCGCAGCCCGGAATCTGCTTGAGATCCTCTCCCCCTGCTCCTCCCCACCCCCAACCCTGTTTGCGCATTCTCTCTCTCTCTCTCTCTCAAATAAATAAATTAAATAAATCTTAAAAAAAAAGAAATTTGAGAGCTAAGTCATCACTGAGCCTGGCGCTGGCGGGGGGTAGGGGGGGTGCATGGCAGTAGGGGGGATCCATGGGTTCAGGGACACACCAGCCCAGGACCACCAGCCCAGGACCCCCAACCAGAGCCGGAACTCGAGGAGGTGCTAGGCCTGAGCCGACTGCCACCTGAGCTGCTCCTGGTGGTGCTGAGCCACATGCCCCCATGCACGCTGCTGGGGTGCTGCTGCCAGATATGCGGGGGCTGGCACACCCTGGTGGACAGCCAGGCCCCGTGGCCACTCATGCTGGCCCAGGACCACAGCGGCCTCTACTTCTGTGAGAAAGCACAGATGGAGAGATGCAACCTCAGGTGTAACCCATGCGGCCAAGAAGGCCTCCGGAAATGGATGGTGCAGCATGCTGGGGATGGCTGGGTGGTGGAGGTGAACAATTCAAGAGTGGCTAGAGCTCCCCTGCAGGGCTGCTTTGTGTCTTCCTTCAGCGGATGTGGCAAGAAGCAGGTCTTAGACCTGGAGGAGCAGGGTGTGTGGCCAGAACTGCTAGATGGTGCAAGATTAAGATTTGTCAGCCAGACGGTCCTGAGTAAATTCTCTGCTAGGCTTGATCCCGACCAGCAGTGGAACAACAGTGTCCGCTTTCAGGTCACTCACATGTTCCCCATCAAGACGGGCCGGCCACTTTGAGTCTTTCGAACTGTGGGGCCAGGACATGCAGTTCTGGGCTGGTCGCTACGGAGCCCGTGTGATCAAATGCAGGGTGATCGTGCCAGCCTGTGTGTCTTACTCAAGGGCTGTCCTCGCCAAATAACCTAAATGGGACCTTCCAGCACCTGGGATCACTGGCCAGGACTTCTCATTAACCAAGGGCATGTACCATCCTGGGTACTCCAGAGTCCATTCAAGGGTTCTGCTGGGCACCTTCTTCAGCTTCTGGAAACTACTACAAGAAAGTTCTTCCATCAGATCTACCTACTGCTGTTGAAGGGCAGTCTCTCCCCTTTTGGGGTGTGGAGAGGCAACAGGTGAGCACAGAGGAATGCTGGTCCTGGAGAGGGCTCTTCGCCCTCCCCCACTGAGGCCCTCTGATTCAGCCTCAGTCCCCTCTGGCCTTGTCTCCTCGTGTGTCTGCTTCAGGAACTTCATCGGTCCCTTGAGGGAAGACCTCTCACCTCTGAAGCAGAATCTCATCCTTAGAGCTGGGACAATCCCAGCCACCCTGGGTGACAAACGTAACCTCCTGGAGCTTCAAGACTGGGACCAGGTCTCATGGCTGAAAGTCAACCCACTCAAAAAATGTTTAGAGATCCTCAAGAACTCCTGTAATCATGTGGTGTATAAAACTATTTTTTATTTTGAAATTTTTCACAAACATTGAGAGAATAAAATACATTGGCAACAACTACCTGCCAACCACATGTAATAAATGTATTACTTTGACAAAAGAAAGAAAGAAAGAAAGAGAAAGAAAGAAAGAAAGAAAGAAAGAAAGAAAGAAAGAAAGAAAGAAAGAAAGAAAAGAAAGAAATTTGAGAGCTACTACTTGACCTGGCACAAGGGAGGCCTTAGTAACCCTTCAACGAGATGCTCCAAGGTTGCCAATCCTTTTCCATTTGGTACGAAGGATGGGATACGGTGGGAAGAGTGGAGAGGCCTATCTCCCCAGCAGCAATGGTAGAGGACAGAGCCAGTTTTCAAGCCCTGGGAAGTGGAGTTCCTACCAGCAGAGAGAAAGAAGCACACACTGGATCATCATTCTCCTAGGGGAAGGCAGAGGCACCAGCTCCAAGGATGGAGGGGAAGGATTACAGCGACATCCACAGCCTCTGGGCCATCTCTGGTGTGCATCCTGGTTTGGAGGAACGTTTGTCCTCTTCTCTATGCTTAACTCACCACAGAAGTGCCTGACATAAAGAAGAGGGCAGTCAGTGTAACTTGACTCACGCAGGGTGTCGACCAGCGACTATAACACCGATACCTCTGAAGCAAATGAGCACAAGGTTCTGATTGTCGGATGTTACAGTAGGCCTTGGCGCTACCCTTACTCAAGGCCCTCAGGCTTCCTTCCAGGAGGTGTCTGCCAAAACAATTTTGGTAATGAGAAAGCATTTCGTGGTATTTTTCTGAGGAAATGTTCTATCCTGGGGAGTCAGAGAGATGCCAAGGCAATGGCTTCCGAGGGCAGCCCACTGTTGAGATCAAGGTTGTCATTGTGACCAACAACACCCTTCCTGGTTTGGGGCTGCAGTGTCTACAGGGCTGCCTGAGGCCCCAGACCTGGGGCTGGGCCTTGGTGGCCCACATTCCATTTCCCACAGTGGGAGCTCTGATGAGCAGGGAGAGTTTGCCACAACTCACCCTTGCCATCCAATTCAGTGACTTTTACCCTAGGTTGTGGGTTAACAGGGACAGAGGTGAGGGGTGACATCTAGTAGCATCAGTGAGCCATCCCCAGCACTCGAGCAGGCAACAGCCTTCCCTCTTCCTTTCCTCACCACATTTTAATAAAATTTCCCAAGCATAATTATTTCAATGTCTGTCTTCTGTGTCTTATTTATTTTATGGTGGAGTTGCTATGAGGCAGAAACAAACAAAAAAACAGAAAGCACTTTTAAAAAATGCAGGAGAAATATGCCCGGACAGGTCACTAACTTGACATTAGGCATCCCCAGAAGAACTAAGATTTAGCTGACATAAAAATCTCATGTCTTAAAAGCTCTCTCTGATCTTAAAAATACTACTGTTCTGGTTACAGCCCTTCCACTGGAAAAAAAATCAGTATTCTGTAATTCCTTCTACAAACTGGGGGCATTAAAATAGAACCAGGGTTGCAAGAGGGAGGCATGGCAGCGTCATTTCGCCGGTTTTGAATGATGTGCTTCAACCCACTGTGCATTTCCCCAGAGGGGACAGAGAATATCTTTCAAGAACATGCTAAACACCCATCTGTCAGAAACAATTTTTGGGTACTGAGGTGTAGAGATGGAGAAGAGAACACACCATCCCTCAGGGCTCATGCCTGTGCAGAACAGCTCTGCCTCCGTCTGATGCCTGTCCTCATTATCTTCGATCACCCGCCCCTGCTCGACAGGCATGGTGCCACCCACCTGCTAGGCTAGGGACACAACAGTCCAGGTCCTCAAGAAGCTCCCCTTGTCCTGGCAGAGCCAGACACCCAGACAATCACATGACAGTAGCGCACTGTGAGAAGAACATTGATGAGAACCCAAACCAAACACGACCATTATAGTGGGAAGAGGACACCACTGAGAGCTGAGCTCCTGTACCTCCAGGTCCTGGGGGCTGGTTTCTCATGGGACACAAGAGCCCCCTGGGGCAGGTGACCTCAGCTCCATATTCTTAGTGACACCCAAGGTCACCAGGAGAGTGAGGGGCAAAGCTGGGATTTGAGCTCAGGTTGCTCCAATTTCATGCTCCTTTTATATCGAGCAACACCTCTAGTACCATTCTTTAATCAGAGCCTTTCCTGACTCCCTGAACGGAATGTTACTTATTTTTACCTCTCTCCAGGCAACTGTCTTGGCCTGGAAGGACTGTCATTTGTGTACTCATCCATTTTACAGGACTGGTAAACTTCAAAGGCAGGAATGGCATTTCTTTACGTGTTTTGTGTGTGTATGATTTTTAAGATAAGGTGTGCCTCTCTGATAAGCTGATATGAAGCAGACACCTGAACAAAATGAGAGCAATCCTTGAGGATGATGGGAGACAGGAGACTGCGATGGGGGATATTCCAGGCGGAGGGCACAGAAAAGGCAAAGGCTCTCCATCAAGGGGTAAGTTTGAGAAATAAAACCCCCATCTTACCCCACCCCTTTCGCTCTGTCCCCTGCCTCTGCTTTATTTTTCTTCAAGGCACTTTTCACTATTTGATGCTACATTTATGGACTTATTTGCTTACCATTCATCCCTCATCTACACTCTGAGCTCTGTGAGGACATGGACTTGGTTTTCACTGATCCTCAGAGCCTGGAAGAGATTGGCACACAGAGGAAACTCCATATATATTTGTTTAGAAACATATGAATAAATGTATAAAGCACTATATATTTTTTTAAGTTGCACTTTTATTAAGTACTTCTCATGTACAATCACTGAACTAAGCACTTTATATACATTACTTCATTTACTTCTCACCCAAACCCCATCGTGGTGGGTATTTTTATCCTCATTTTACAGGTGGTGCAAGTGAGGTTAGGTAACTTGCTTCAGATGACTCAACCAGTAAGTGGTGGAGCTGGGATGTGAGCCTAGGTCTGAGCCAAAAGCCTGTAACTTTCCAAGAATATACAATGGGGGAAAGATAATCTCTTTAATAAATGATGTTGGAAAAAAACTGGACAGCTATATGCAAAAGAAAGTGGACCAACTTCTTCCATCATGCACAAAAATAAACTCAAAATGGATTATAAACATATACATGAGACCTGAAACGATGAAACTCCTAAAAGAAAACATAAGCACTAATCTCTTTGACATGAGCCTTAGCAACATATTTATGGATGTGTCTCCTCAAGCAAGGGAAACAAAAGCAAAAATAAACTATTGGGACTACAGCAAAATAAAAAGGTTTTGCACAATGAAGCAAACCATCAACAAAATGAAAAGACAACCTAACAAATGGAAGAAGGTATTTGCAGATGACATACCCAAAAAGAGTTAGTATCCAAAATATATAAAGAACCCCAACTCAGCACCAAAAAAACAAATAATCTGATTTAAAAATAGGCAGGGGACCTGAATAGACACTTTTTCAAAGAAGACATACAAATGGTCAACAGATAAATGAAAAGACGCTTAACATCACTCATCATCAGGGAAATGCAAATCAAAACTGCAATGAGATATCACCTTGCACCTGTCAGAATGGCTAGTACCAAAAAGACAAAAAGTAACAGGTGTTGGTGAGGATGTGGAGAAAAGGGAACCCTGGTGCACTGTTGGTGGGTATGCAAACTGATGCAACCACTGTGGAAAACAGTATGGAGGTTCCCCCCAAAATTAAAAATGTCATACAATTCAGTAATTCCACTACTGGGTATCTACCCAAAGAAAATGAAAATATTAATTCAAAAAGATGTATGTACTCCTATGCTTATTTTAGTATTATTTACAGTAGCCAAGATATGGAAACAACCCAGGAGTCCATCAAGAGACAAAAGTTGTGGTGTATGTGTATATGTGTATATGCAAGTGTGCGTGCATGGGCATATGCACAATGGAATTATCATTCAGCCATAAAAAAAGAATGAGATCTTGTCATTTGTGACAACATGGATGAACCTACAGGTATTATGCCCAGGGAAATAAGTCAGACAGAGAAAAACAAATACCAGATGATTTCACTTATATGTGGAATCTAAAAAACACAACAAATGAATACACAAACAAACAAAAAACAGAAACAGACTTAGAAATACAGAGAACCAACTGGTGGTTGCCAGAGGGGAGGGATGAGGGAGATGGGTGAAACAGGTGAAGGGGATTAAGAAGTACAAACTTCCAGTTATAAAATAAATAAGGCACAGAGATGAAAAGTACAGCAGAGGGAATACAGTCAGTAACACTGTAATAATGATGTATGGTGACAAATGGTAACTACATGTATTATGGTAAGCATTGTGTAATGTACAGACTTGTTGAATAACTCTATTGTGTACCTGAAA